CGTTTTTGGTGTTATTTACCCTCGTTTCCAATTATTATGAATAAATAATTCCTACTAGACTATATTTTTTTAATTATACAAATTTCTTATCAGATATTATAATCAAATTAGTCAACTCAAAATTAAAATTGCTTACATTTGCTCATTTTTATTGTTTCATATTTAGAGTGATTTTTTTAACATGAACCATTCTACTACTAACAATATAAAAATATTTTTGATAGATTTTTATTGGCTACCTTTAGTTATATATTATTCTTGAATTATTAGCTATGTAATACTTAATAAGTTCATTTCATATTGTATACATATGGAAGTTATTAACTATTTAAAGTAATGCCTGTAGGTTAAGAGAGGGTGCTGCTATTTTTATAACTAGACATTTCTCGGCCGTACTTTCCCTGTCACCGAGATTTATATATGTCAATAATATCTGAAATACTGGTCCAAAAGTTGCTATCGACCATTTATTTTCTTGATTAGATCATTATCTAATAAATAAGGTGGTTAGTAATGTGTGTTGCCATATGAAAAAATAAAATTGACACTTTTATAAGATATAAAGAATGAACGTAAAAATGTTTTTATGTTTGATACATTAAGAAAAACATTGTACTAAAATAAACCATTTTTTGGTTTATTTTTGGTTCGTATTACGTGATCATCATGTATGTATAAATAAAAACAAAAATGTAAACTAATTAGTTTGTTTATTTAAAAATCGGAACTTTCAAATTGTATTTTAATGATTGTAAAGTTTTTTTGCATTTCTGTTGTTTTTAATAACAATTAGTTGATTATTGAATATATTATAAAATTTGAATTTTATTTTATGTCTTATAATAAAACATCTATACATTAATATTTTATGTTGCAAGATATATTATTTTAAATCATTTTTCCCTAAGAAATGGTTCTTTATGGCGGAAAACAAAATCGATTCTTCAGATTAAAAAATAATCTCCATCCCTCCGTCGCCTTTTCAATACATTAGCTATAACACATCAAGATAAAGCAGATACATTGGTCATGAAATTATCTAATGTGATTAAACCAAATTCTATTTATCCACCAGAAAATTCAAAATATTTGTTTCATAATAAGAGACTAAGCGAAAAATGTATTTCAAATTTATAAAATTTTATAAATTTTAACGCGAACAATATAAAAATACTTCATATTAAATTGAAAACTGATAAAATAGTAAAAAATTGTTTAATATGGCTCTTTTAAATTTCAGTAAATATATCTAGAATATTTTTTAGAAGACTTATAATTTATTATTGTGTTAATGTTTTCACATTATTATCATTCGCTTAAAATAGAATATAAAATATAATTTTTGTATAAAATGAACAAACTTAAAAATTAATCTCATACCTATTTAGAAACTTCAATTTTATTATCCTCTTTTCGTATATTATTTACACAAAATGTTTAAATTAATGTTACTATGTCTACTTGTAAAATTTTGTAAAACTCAAACAAATCCTTTAACAGATCCATTGCAAGAAATTAATATAAACGTAGCATGGCTTTATTTTAGAGATGTTATACTATACGAAAATGGCAATGCAATCACTTACAAAGATTTGCCTGATCATAAAGTACCTAGAATAATGAACGTAAGTCGATTTATAACATGTAAAAATGCTTATATTATTTATCGTTTGACTTATCTCATGTTCGCCTTAGCGCGTGCATGTAAAAATGAAACTAATGAAATGGTAAGTGATTGTACAAAAACATTTTATAGACAGTTAGAGAATAACGAAAAAGGTATTTTTCTTATACATGATAGAACATTATTTGTTAGTAAATTTGATAAATTTGAGAAGAGTTATTTTATGACGCCTATGGCCACATTTTCCTCAGAAGTATCACACATAACATTCAAACACTTTGAAGGAGAAGTTGTAACATTAAACGAAATGATAAAGCCATTTGAAGATTTAGTTCTAAAATTAGAATCCAATATACTATCGGAAGAAAACAAAGTTTGTAATAGGAACCAACAACCACCGATGCTTTATTATGAAGATTTAAAATCTGAATTCGAAAAGCTAACTACTGAAAAACGGTTTTATCATTTCATCGAAGATAAAATTAAAGAATATGTAATTGAATATTACGGTACATATCTTAGTAAACTTGGTGTATGATAGTTGACGGTCAATACACCAATTTAAAATCGCCGATTAAAATATATAATATTGAATGTTTTAATTTTTTATTTAGCTTTAAATATTTTTTTCGAATTACTTATTATTAAGAATTAAGAATTTATTAGAATTTTATTTAATTGCATTCATTTAATTTAAATGTACACCATTAAGCTACTAAGTAAATAAAATCTATTTTTATAAATGTACTCAATATTTTATGTAAATTATGTATTTAAAAACTATTATAATTTTACCGTTTGACACAGAGAATTTTTTCAACAAATTGCCACTGGTAACAAGATTATTATTTTTTAACAAAAATAGCTTACATAATAATATGCAATATTTCAATATTACAGAGAAATACTTACTGTCCTTTATTTTCAAAAAATATGTGTAAAACCTTTAATGATATGCAATTTTTATGTTTTTTTTTTAAATAATATAACAGATATTTACAATAATTATCTATACCTATTAGTAAGGGCAAGGAGAGACATTTCCCAGGAAAATATATCCTCGGGCAACAAAATCATTCAAATCAATGAATCAGACCGGCAGTTAGTATGACGACCATCGCCACATATGATGACTCTTGCTGCTCGTCTCGCATATCTCTTTCTAACTGCACTGAACTCTTATACCTATAGTGTGTGTATGACGTTCATTAGGGGGCAAGAGGAGACACGGTCCCTGGAAAATATGCGATCCTCCCTCTCTCTTATGACTCTGAACTCATACGCAGTATTGTTGTTCTCTTCGGAACACGTTGCTAGTGTTTTATTTAAAAGTAATAACTGTAACAATAAAATATGAATGACTGTGATTGTTAAAAACATAATTTGCCTCTTTCAAAGAAACTAAAATTACACAATCAAACAGTGGTACCGACTTCTATGTACACGTATATTGGTGCGTTACTATACAGTATAATTTACTAAATATACGACCCTCCATTTTTTCGTTAAATAGCGATTTTTTTTATAAAAATGTATAGATTAAAATTTAATGTATTTTTATAAACCATTGTAAATATCAAGTTTATTGCAATAAAAAAATTAATTCTAAGAATTAATTAGATAACTAATAAGAGGTGTTGACTTCTCGATAACTAGTATTGTATTATTACTTATTGAGTTGTTATAATTTTTAGTTACAGTTCAGTGGGATTCACAAAGTAGAAGAATTCTTATCTCGTCAATGTAGAATTAGAAGAACGTATTATTCAACAATTTTTTTTTTTAATTGAATTATTTAGTTTTTTTGTATAATTTATTGTTACAACGGTAGAATACTTAGAGATAGAAGTTATAACTTTATTTAAAGTACCTTTAAAGTTATATGATTTAAAATTCAAATTCAAAAAAAATAATTGAATAAAATTGTTTTGTTCTTATGATCCTACGCCGACCAATTGTGCGTTATCTCTATTAAAAATAGAGCAAACTTTCACAAATCTAAATCTTCAAATGCTAATATCTCACAAAAAGAGAAATATAAAACTAGTTTATAGATCAGCCAAAATTTTATTTAGACCGTTCTCCATTGAATAGTAAAAAGATAAAAATATTTTCCTTGCAATAAACTTTATGTTGTTTACAATGATTTCGAAATATATGTTAAATTTTAATCATTACATTTTGATAAAATATATGATTTTTTAGCGCAAAAATGGAGTTAGTACACTTATGTCGTAATATACTCGTCACTACCATAACATGGGATATTTATGCATTATATTCTTAGACGACATGATACTTTTTTAACAAATAATTTCAATAAACATTTAATAAACACACACACTGTTTAGTTATATTATAATACACACGATTCTATCATTAATTGATTCACTTTTAGAAATCGTTCCTTCCGAGAGGAAATCTATAAATTATTTTTGTCATCTTTGTTATTTTAGTTTTAATAACTAAATGCATTATATTAATCCTGGGGGGCCTATTTTTGAGCTTGGACTAATCATTGGCGAATGTTTTAGTACACTAAAACATTAGATTATGATTTTAGTGCACTAATGGAAATTCGTATTTTTGAATTTTATTTTTTATCAGTCTAAAAATCTTGCACTAATCGTACATCGTCTAATCTAATGTCATTTCAAACCAATAATTATTAGTGCGACATGTTAAATTATATTGGCTGTACTGTATTTTATATTAATTTTATAGTTAATACTTGATAATATTTATGATAACTACAAAATTTACCCATAAGAAATTTGTCACGAGTTTTTTGTCAGTATTTTTTATTTCAATTTGTGTAATGTTTTACAATGGAGGGGAAACAAAGTCAATAAGTGTGACTTATGAACAAAAACAATAATTAATTGAATTTGTTCATAAGCATCTAAAATTAAATTCTAAAAAATTTGGACCATCTTTTACCATGAAAGATGCCCAATTATTATGGCAAAATATTACCAAGATTTTAAATGAAACTGTTGGCCCAAAGAAGACACTAGCGAAAAATCGTAAAGCTGTTAGTACCTATCGTGACAAAAATTGTATTAAATTTTACTTATTGTTTAGTCAATATTGTACAATATTTTGCATACTTTGCGCTCTATACTTAGAGCAGACTTAATCGATGGGGGTTCTAAATATGGGCGTAGCTCATTAATTAAATTTAATGCAAGAACTTTTATCAGTCTAAATTTTTGTATAAATGNGTATGAGCGTAGCTCATTAATTAAATTTAATGCAAGAACCTTTGTCAGTCTAAATTTTTGTATAAATGCCCTTTCGGACAAAACTACAGAAAATAAAATTTTATTAATGTAAATAGATAATTTTATATATAGTAATTTGTTTTGTAACATACCAATGAACGGATCCTCCGCTAAACGAAATTTCATTGTTGAATGGCCATTATCTTCAACTATTTCTAAATTACTAATAACTTGCACATAATTTATATTAAGAAAGTGTTCCATTTTAATATTTAATATTAAATAAATTTGAAAACGTTATAAATATAAAAATTTCATATAAATATGAATAACAGTAACATTAGTATACTAAAATCATAATTAGTGTGGTAGATACCACTCTAAAAAGATCATCTAAAACTTTAGTACACTAATAAATATTTTTTAGCATACCAACATTCAAAAATACGGTTTTTTAGTTTCACACTAATAGTTGCACTAAAACGTCATGTTTTAGTATACTAAACAGATTAGTACACCAATATAAAATTCAAAAATAGATCCCCTGGTCTTATTGGAAAAAAACTATGTTAATGTTATATATAAATGTCAAAATTATTTATATCCTATTCATCTGTAATGATCTCTGTATTTTATGCTTATTTATCAGATAAACAGTTATACTGTAAGAATTAGACAATGATGATTTTCGGGGGTAAAAAATATTAAAAAAAGGGAGAACAAATCCTTATTTCGCGGTGTTCATTTCGTGCTCTATGTATACAACGATATGTGAATATTGTCGGAGTTCTTACATGCTTGATATGTGAACTAAAACTTGAATTTGTGTTACTTCATTTATCATTTTATTAATATTATCACTGAAGTTATTATAACAGATGAAGAAAAATTATCAGGTAAGCTTTTTAAATCCATAAGAATATTTATATTGTCATTTTATAACCCTCCAATCACACCCCGAATCAAAAGTAACTCTCACTTTAATTCACTCAATAATAAACTTTTTCAATCTTTTTATTTTTATTTTATTAATTTTTAAGTTACGATACTTAATAATTCACGCTGTATTTATAAGATAGTCGGTATTTAAAGAAATATGATTATGCTAATGAGTGTCCATAATTTAAAAAAAAGGTACATAATAAGTAGTAATAAAAAATTTAGAGGTGGTGGTGTCCCAGTAAAACTTTTTTGTCATGCAATATTAAAATAACATATAAAATTTAACATAAGCGACACTGTAATGAAGTGATTAAAGTCATGAATAAGTTAATTTTATTTTTATAATGAAGGTATTTTGTACGTGAGTGGGTATATATTTTGTGCCATGAAAATGTTTGATATATCTCATTCGAATAATTTGTTTCTGTTAACACGATCCAAACTTCAGTTGCCCAATATTAAAGTATCCCAACGGCATTTTGATATTCGGCTTAAAAGGGACACTAGATGGTACTCCAAATAAGGAGAACTCAATCCTCTTCCGCTCATCATCACTTTAACCACTGTATATGATATATAAATCTATGAGTTATCGTAAAAATTGGGATCCATTCATGACAACTATGCTGTTCAACGTCAAATCACAGTAATCAATATTATTATAAAAATTCACTTTTTTATATAGTCCCAGGAATAATAACTTGGCAAATATTTCTGTAATTATTCTATATTATTAACAAATTTACTATAATTACAATATTATTAATTATTGCGTATAACAGAGACGTATTTAAAGAGAATTGTCTCCCTTGAATCAGCGCTAATATTTTTTAAAGCCGATATCTAAGAAATATGACCTAAATATAATTTTGTAGTAAACACTAAAGTTAACCCATTAAAAAAAATGAATATGTATAAAAATTAAAATAGCTTAAAAATATTTATAAAGGATTGTTAGCTTGAATTCGAAACTGAGAAGGTATTAATTTTACCATGCATTATTTTTTTATGTCTATCCGATAAATACTCGACTCACACTGGATCGATTTTAACGATCGTCAAAAGAACTTGATTTAATATAGTTGAACCTATCAATGCGAAAATTGAAAAAAAACCTAAATTATTAAAATGTAGGAATTTATCTCAAAATTACGCTATAGTAATAAATGACATTTTAAAACTGCTATACATTTTTAAATACTGAACTTATTGAAATTTTAATACACCATAATAGAGACAAGGAGCTTTCCTTTGAAAACTTTTCAAAGAAATCCAATAAAATAACTTTTGAAAAATTTTTCTTTTAATTAAGTTTTTGAAAATTTTTGGAATGTCTGCATTCAATAGACTTATACCAAATTAAAGCTTATAAAATTGTATGTAATATTTAAAAAAACCTAACACAGTGATGTCGTATTATTTCGAAAAATTATTACAATTTTAAATCGGTATTTTATACTTAGTTTTTCCGTAGGATAATAACTGATTTTTTAACAGAAGACTATAAATAAGTTAAATGATTACAGAAATATTTAATGTTATTAAAAAATAAATATTGTTACAATGATATACATTTATTTAGTTAATATTATTTTATAATTATTATAATTTTGTTATTAATATATAATAATTACACCTATAGTACAATGTTATAAAATACAATAGAAACAACCATAAAGTTTGAATAAAAAATGAATCTCTATTATATTATATCACTTTTTAATTATTCTATACGCTTTTTTTGGCCTTTTCATTTTACGTCAAATTTGAACAGGTTTTTGATTACATTTTGTTATAAAATTTCAAAGTTCGTTTTTAAAATTTTATAAAAAAAATATTTTATATAGAACTTTTTTATTGTTGCTGTGGAGTGTTAAAATTTGCAGCAATTCTAATCTTTCGTTTACCAGAGGTGGCTGCTGAAGTAAAAGCACTAGAAGGACTTGGAATTATTACTCTATTATTTGGTGAACGCGAATCATTCTAAAATTATAAAATATTTTAGTATAAAGAAATTAAAATAGTTCATTCGTATTACCATTAACATTTCTTTTGGTACTGATCGTGTATAAGTTGGATGACTTATAGTTGTATGAGATTGATAAGTTTGCTGTAGAGGGTTCATGAGAATTTCATTATTAGCTGTTGGAACTATTAATCAATACATTTAATTTACTTTAATAACCAAAATACTGAAAATGATTAAAAAACTTACCATTTCTAGGAGTTGCTTGCCAGTGAATTGGAGGCTGTGGCAACTGAGCTGGATTTACAATATTAGGAAACACTGTAGGTACAGGTTTTGAGTACTGCATTTCTTGAGGATAGTTAAAATACCTAAAATCATACCAATTTTAAAAATCATATAATTTAATTTAATTAATGTGCATACTGTTGTGATGGTAACGAGTATCCACTAACTACATTTTGTTGAGTAAAAGTAGGTTGTGATACAAAAGGTAGATGATATGACTGTCTTGGTACTTGATAATTTGGTGCATATTGAGCTAAAAACTGTTGAGGCTGGAATTGTTGATATGCGATTTGAGGTCCCTTAAAATATTGAACTGATTGTTGAGGAATAGGTTGTTGGTAAGACTGATGTGGATATGATGATATCCAGTTCATGTATGCATTAGGTGGTGCTTGCTGTTGTGGAATTTGTTTTGCTATTTCTTGTTGGGTAACCAGTCTAGGATTTATTTTCTGAGAAAAATTATTAGATATCACTTGTTCAGCTTTATTTTGGTTAGATTCAATCTTTTTTATAATAATCAAGGCACGAGCAGCTACATCTTCAGTGGCCTAAAAAAAATTATTTTTTTGAGTAATTAGAAATTGAGTTAAACTTTTAATATACCTCTGTATGGGTTGGTTTTACTTCTCCTGGTAAAGTTATGCCATTTGGTAATAATACAGATGCACTATACAATTTCATATTCTTATCTACTTTATTTGTAAAACTATACCTGGGTGTTCCATAACCTTTAGAAATATAAAAGCTCTCTAGAGCAGCAGTCATAGATGTTGATGGTTCCTTTAAATTAATATTTAATGCTATTTATAATTTTTTCAAACTTTAATTTTTAAATGAAAATTATAACTAACTGCTGGGAAGTAAGGTATACTGTTATCATTATTCCTGCTAAAATTATTCTCAGTCATTTGCTCTTTACTATTATAACTTGAACCACTTGGTGCACTGGAGAAACTCTTGATTGACTCCAACTAAAAATTAATAAAAAATTTAATAACTATATGTATCATAAATTTCAACTTAAAAAAAAAATACAATTGAGACCAAGTACAATGAGAGCCAAACATAGAGAAAACTTTTATAGATTGAAGTTAAACAATAATTAAAATTACTATCATAAACAGGTAAACATCATGATATTTGGATTTTAAGAACAAGATGTTTTTTTAGAAAATGTTTAGGGTTTTTTTTATTTTTGAGGATAATTTCTTTACTAGATGTGATTTAGGTTATTCTGTCTCATAGTTGAGCAAATTAAGTGCAGTAAGAGCCAAGAACAAAAAGTGACAGGCACAAAAAAACACATATACATAAAATCAACAGCTTTAGTTAACACATAAGCTTAGCTTGTTTATCGGCTAAATGAATTCTGAGTATTTGCAATGTGTAAGTAGATTAGTTAATGTAAAATAATAATTTTTAATTTAATAAAATATTTGTCATAATTACACGAAAATGTTTTTTAACTTACTTTTGAATTGGTTTTTATAATAGAGTTATCTTCCGATTGAATTTTTAACATTTTTTTAAGAGCCAATGTTGTGAACTCCTAAAATAAATTAAATGATAGTCAAAAAATTGTATAAAATACTAAGAAATATTTTGAACACTCACGCATGCATCAGCATTCAATAAAGAAGAATTATTAGATTTATTATTGTTATAATTTTGACTGCTCTGGGTTTTCTTTAATTCTTCCTAATCATTATATAGTTTTAAAATAATTGTAAAAAACAGTAGAAAAAACTATAGCATTAATACTATTAAATCAATTTGAAAACATAATATTTTCTACTAAACAGAAATCATATATAATATTATGTTTCCTCAGTGTTATATTTTAAAATAATGTAAGTATTTATAGATTATACAATGTTTGTACATGACACTTATTGATGTGGTTAGTTATATCTTCAACTATACACTATAGCACATATATGCCTCAATGGGTATGTATCGGTTACTTTTTACAAGTTCATGGTGGCCTAGTGATAAGGCATTGGGTTGCTATGACTTGGGTTGCAATCCCACACTGTGATTTTATTTATCTCAGGTTTTCCGATACATTCCCAAAACCATCTACTAGTTCTTGGCAGGCGTGTTATAATAATACAAATTTTATTTTAACTGTTTAATTGAAAGATAAAATTTTTAGTAAATTATAAATGATTATAATTAACTTACAACAGGTTGTCCTTGTTTTTGGGAAATATTACTGTTCATTACTGAATTTGACTCGTTCTGCTGAATAAATAAATATATACTATAGTTTAAACTACTTTAACACTAAAATCATTTATATTAAAATAAAAACTACTAATTATGATAATAACTTATATACGCCTTTTATACATGAAAAATTGTAATCAATACTATAGTATATGACACAAAATTAAACAAACTAAAATCAGTGAGGGACATATATTAAATAATAAGTAAAATGTTTTATGTGTTTTAAATAATTTTAATAAGACAAAAAATATAACCTGCGTAGAAGGTTGTCAAATATTTAAAAAAATTAACTCAAAATCAACTATTTAGTACTTACTAAGTAGTTATTGATTTCAAGAATTCAAATAACTAACAAATTTCATAAAGAAAATTTAACACATTTAAAAATAAGCAAACTAATAACATAATAAAACATAATAAGTATCTTAATTTACTTAATATTTAAACATTAAGTAAATTTAAACTACAAATTAAAACTGTAATATATTCTTGTTACTTTAAATCATTACCTATCAACACTTACTAATTGTTGTCGTCGCCAAGATTCCTTTGAAGCTAATGTAAATTTAGATTCAGTATTCTTTGATATTTTATCTGAGTTCTTAGAATTTGACTATAATCAGAAAAAATGTTCACATTATTATAAATATTTTTATATTAATTTGTATATAGAGTTATATAATAGTTATAAATAAACATTTATAAGTTATAACAAAAAAAAAAGTGTATCATTTTTAAACAAATAACAGGACCTATTTTTTGACAATTTTGAAAAACACTTTTTTTTTATTAAGTAATGTATTTTACAATATCCCACTATACACTGTTAATGTTGTATCACACTTGTCATAAAACACAAAAATAGGCACTAACAAATATTGAAAGATAGTTTTATTGTCAGCAATACGTAATAAATATTTAATAAGAAATATTTCTGATTAAAATCAGAATGCTTTTTTCTCATAAATTAAACTTTCTTTATTTACACATCTACCAAAATCTCTATCTTTGATATGGGTCACCATATACAATTAAACAGTGTAGAAAATGTATATTTATTCAAATTATATGCTAACCTTAGTTTTTAATCAAAATTATAATGCTTATTTAAAAAAAATCACGAATCATTTAAATGAAAATTCTTAAAATCTTAATAGCAGATTTTGTGAATCAGTATATACAATATTAACTAGGTTTCAGGTAGTGTACCTAACTACACCATATATGTACTTATGTACTAGACTCATTAACTACATATTGTTATAACATATAAGCGTACTGAATTGGAAAATAAAACTTTCACAAACCTGTAAATGTTCCCAAATGCTCATTTGAGTGTTCTGTAAGCATTAGATAAATTGATTTAAATATTCATAGTAATGGCAAAGGATAATATGCTTTACCTGTTTTTCAGTATTTGATCTTTGACTAATTGGTACTTTAACAACTAATGGTTTATAAAGCCCAGTACGTATAGCATGTGATAAGTTAATAAATGACATTCTACAAAGTTTATAACCTCTATTAGGACTACCTCCTAAAGAAACCCCATTAGCAAATTCTTTATCAAATATTACAGAGTATACAGTTTCAGTATCAACGTTTGATTTATTAATACCTATTGATTTATCAATAATACATATTATTAATTTAATGTTTTAGAAATTTTACCAAACAATTAACACTTACTGATAACTGTGCCTTTATAACCAAGTGGGACTTGATAAGATGATCGTATACATACTACACGATCTAACACACGTGTATCAGCATCTTCATCTGCTTTTAATTTATCCAATTTAGTTACTGGCTACNTGCTTTTAATTTATCCAATTTAGTTACTGGCTACAGATATAAAATAAATGATTTATAAATACAAATAATTACACAAAAAAAATATAGAAATAAAGGATAAACATAAATTTTAATAAC